CGAGGCTGAATTGATTCAATCTTCGCAGTTTAGTCAAGGTGTATAGTTTGAACTGATAAGCCAAGTGAACAGATAATCACTTTTGATTCCAGAAATGCAGCCATATGCCTGATGTGGCCCAGGCCACAAGTTGTGAGGGCTCTAGAGCATGCCTCCCTGCTTGGTTGGAGCAGCCATTTGGGCTAAGGCTAGCCCGCCCACCCTGTGCGGGGAGGGGGAAGATTGTAGCAGAGATTCAAAGCATCCTGGGATGTTGGGGTACCGTGTGTTAACTTGAATCTGGAGGTGATCTGGGACAGAAGTTCAATAGAACAACTTAACCTAAAACAGTTAAGTCTAATACTACATTGTGGCAGGGCACTGTTGGTGCCTGCCACTTTAAGGGCTGGAGCAGGCAGCAGCTGGGTGCCTGATTAGGGCAGCCATTTTAAGGTCCAGCTCCCTGAGCTGAGGGCAGTTCGTAATCAGCCAGCAGAGGAGAAACACCTCTCTGCTGAGCTCTGCGAGGAACAACTTGGAGGTCTGTGGGCTATGGGGATGGAGGAGGCTCTAAGTCCTGGGCATGACTTAAAACTGCACCCTGCCAGGGAGCGGAGGCTTGATGGGGCTGCTGGTGGCGCAGCAACCCTGTGAAATGTCAGGGCTGCAAACCTCCCTGGTGAAAGGCAGGTCAGGGGTTCCTAATAACCTCCAGCCCCCTCACAGTCCTAGCTGGGTAATGCCAGACCTATGAGAGTGTAGAAAGACCTGTGGCTCAGTTATTCCAGTGGAGTTGTGAGGGTAAAAGCAGGCAAGCAGCTCAGGCTTGTTCTGAGGTACTTGACTGGTCTATGCTGGGGCCAGGGCCCAGAGAGAGGTTGAAAGGGCCAGGGGCCCACTGCAAGGGATTGCCCACAGGGCAGAGTGGCTCAGGATCCTGTCTGGCCTGAGACGGAGCAAGGGCATAAGGGGGAGCTGAAGGTGCTAGAGAGGGGACCACAACTAATGGGTGAAGGGAATAGCTGTGTTTAGCTGCCTGGGATGCCATCTGCAAGGCTTGGGTCGCAGTGTATGTGTGGAATAGAGCTGCAGATATTCCCCTTAAAATTGAGGTTCCAAATAGGCAGCCTCCCGCATGAGTAACATCCATAACCAGTTAGCATCCGTGGCAAGCAAGAGAGAGGTGGGTGGCTAACCCAGAGAGAGGTAGGTGGACCAACATTGAATTGGCCTTGGGAAGGCCCCCTGTTACATACATTCATCCAAGTTTATCTTAAACTAGTTTTGGCTGTTTTGAGAGAGGATTATGCGCATATAACTTCTGTTGTATTACAGATTTGATCTGGTTTCTGATCACTTATACTGGTTTATGTGTAATTTCTGTCCCTAGCCTTAAGGCTGGTGAAGAAATGAGAATCATTGAAAATGGGAAAGAAAGGTGCAGCTCAGCTGCGGGAGTGAAGAGGAAGTCAAAGTATATTCGTTGTAGTGGCTCACCATGACTTGAAAAAAGAGTTGGTGCTGAGGGAGATTGCATACAATAGGCACTATCATATATTTTGTTCAGATGGCCTGCACTAAGCTATTCCTGTGGTAGGTTCCTATCAGCATTTTTGGCACCAGGAGGGGGTCTCAGAGCTTGCTCCGATCTCTGTGTGCTAGCCTAGGTTTGCAGTACCTCCAGGTCTGGTGCTTATTCCCTCCTGAGGGAACAACTGCCTATTTGGGGGGGGGGGGGTGTTAAAGGGCTACACGCACGTACATGTGTGTGTACACACGCGCGTATACACACGCACGCGCGTACGCACACATGTATGTGTGTGCACACCAGTGCTCAGTGTTGACTGCACTTAATCATTTTCATAGTTGGTTTCCGTTGCTGAGCACATGCTGCTTTTGGCAGTAGTTTAATGATAGTCAGTATATTTTGTGAGATTTCCTTGTACGCAATTAGATAAATGCCAATTTTCCCCATGCCAGTTGGGGGGGGGGGGGGAGGGGACCTTGTCTTGTAGTCAAGGAAATACTCTTAGAAGGATTTGTTAGAGTGCATGATCATCCTGAAACATTGGCAGAGTGAGGCACTTATTTCCGTACAGAATCTGACAATGTTTGATAAAATTCTTCTGAAGTTGTCATATTTTGCAATCAGCTTTATCAAGCTTTATTCAAATACATCATAAGCTTGGAAGCGACTTGGTGGCGCCTTTTTATTAATCTGACTAGTTCAAGGATCAACAAATAAGTGAAATAATATTGAAGAAAAGGTGTGTGCATTTTGTGCCAGTCTTCATCATTGAAGATGCTAGAAAAGTAAACTTCTGCAAGTTTTACTGTCTTCAGGTAATAAGAATAAAGTGTTTTCAGAAGTTTAAAATGTCAAAAAGGAGGCAGTAGAAACAAAGAGCAACAGAAGATGGATTTGATGCAACTCCAAGAATTAAGAAAGTGACAGAGATGTTAAAAAATACATACTCTTTAACTGTTTCACAAAAGTAATGCATAGTAGTAAAGATTGTATTAGTAATTTCAGAATAGGATTGTGGTCTATACTGGGACTTTTGAAGCAGTGAACATGTGTTAAATATATTAGTGTCGACAATAGGTGGTATTACACCTAGGTCCTCCCTTTATGTAATTTGGCTAAGGAGGAGCTATGGTTACCTCCTTCAACCACCCCCTGATGTTGCCTTCTGCCTGCTATGACCTTTGTATTTCTTCTTTTGATTTGGGAGCTGGCTCAGCACTACCCAACAAAACTGCTTTATGGGGCTGCTCCTCCCCTACACCCTGTCCTGACCACACCTTTTGGTTGTCAGTTTCAGACTGAATTACTTAGGGGCTAACCCCTTATCCCTGGCAGAGGGTGTTCTGTCACCTGACCTCAGGGTTGAAGGAACCAAACCTGGCAGCCTTCTAGTTTCCCACCCCTCCTCCACAATCCCCGCAAGCCAGTTCTAAGCTGGGCCACTACCCCTTAAGTCCAAAACCCCTGTCCCGGCCTGCCTAGCAGTAGAGCAGTCCTACCCTCAAGGAGGACTGAGCTCACCGGGTCTTCCTACTTCGCTTGCCAGCACTTACTTATTGGCGGCAGCTTCTCATCTGCTGTACCATTGATCGAGCTCCCCGTGGCAGAGCTTCCGCAAGCGGTGGCCCTCTGACCACCTGTACCTTATTCCCAGCACCTCTGTGCTGCCAAACACACTGCAGACAGTCATTGAGAGGAGAGTTTTCTGGAGTTTCAGGCTTCCTGACGCTGGAGTCTCTTGCTGGCTGCCCCTCTCTGGGATCAAAAGTACCAAGTGCAGCTCACCTGCCACCAATGCAGAGTGAATACTCTTCCAGAAATGTGGCATACTGCCGCTTGCCCCAGTCTTCCTTTCTTCTGGGACAAGTACAGGAAAATTACTCCTATTCTCAAGGGCCTTTTTTGCTTTGAAACCCTTCCCATGACATGTAGTAAATTGGTTGAAACAGGTAATTAAATAATAATGAAACATATTGATGAACATACAACAGTAGATACAAACCAATATGGTTTTTAAAAGAAAGTCTCATCTTTTAGAATGGTTTCTTAAGCTTATGGACAAAATAGTGGATAAAAAATAGTTGACATTTATTTGACTTTAAAAAACTGTTGGCCTCATGAAGAATGTTGCAATAAGAAAATATGTAGTTCTAATACAGAGGCCAAAGCACTGTAATGGGTTAGAAACTGAATAACACAGAATGTGAAGAACAAAAGTAAGTGGTCAGTTTTTAAATGTGGAAGAGGTTAACAGTGGAATTCCACAGTTTGAAAAGGGGAGTAAATAATGAGATGACAGTATTTGTGGATTGTACCAAAATACTTAGGGAAGTCAAGATATAAAAAAGTCATGAACGATAGTTAAGGGATTGACCTTGCCTTCAATAGATTAATAATTTGAAGTAATCACATACTCATACAGTTTTCTTTCAATAGCTCAGAAAAACCTGGTAATGGTTGTGAAGGACTAGTTGATTGCCAGTATGAGTTTCACCAAAAATCCATGTATTAAGAAACGTATTATAGTATTTATGCAGAAAAGGAGAAAAATTTAAAATACTGTTTCATTATTAAGTGTTAATGTACTTGTTAAGTTCTAATAAACTTTAAAAAATCTACAACAGAAGTATAACAGGTCCAGAGATGAGCAGATGACTAAAGCATACAGGGACTTCCAGAAGAATACATTAAAACTGCTCAAATAAGAAATGCAATGGAATATAACTTAATTGCAGCTAAAATTAAGCTTTCCTATTTGTCCTTCTCCTAGTGCAGTTACAAGACGATAATTAATTATGGATGCAGCAAAATTTAAATATCAGTAAATACTTTTTTCTAAATTCAGTGTATCATTAATTTGGGATGTCATTATTACAAGATGTCTTTGAGATGAAGAACTTGGCAAGATGCATAAAGGCTTGTCTCCAGAGTAGGTAAAATAAAAGGGATGTTATAAGACTACCAACTGCCACATAAGAAAAAATTGTTCCTCTTGGGTACAATATTTCATAACTGACCACTTTATTCATAAACCTGTTCCATCCTCTAAAGAGTTTAGTACTAGCTGCTTTTGGACATTTGATTCTGGGCTAAATGGTGGATGTTCTGTTCTGCATGGCAGTTGTGCTCGCAAAGGTAGATTGTGGCAAGATTAGAATTTAGGACTTCAGAATTTCCAGGTCTTTGGTACAACAGTTTAGTTTGAGACTTTATCTGATTTTTGTTTTGCAGTTTTATAGAATGGCCAAATCAAAAGTTTTTGGTCACAAAAGATTATAGAATCTAACTGTAGAAAGTTGTTATTGTCATGACACAAGACTGTAACTTTGGAACCAACAGATGAGGAAGCTGAGAACCCTCCCACATGGCTATGCTGGGGTTTTTTTTATGTTTTTTTTTTTTTTTTTAAATAGACACTTTTCTTTAAAAAAATATTCTGAGTTTTGCTTAGGTTTGGAACTTTTTCTTACCTAATTCTCTGTTCTTTTCACAGTGAAAATGCTCAAAATATATCCTGTTCTGGAACAGTATTACTCGGTAGACGTTTCCACCATGCTCATGCCCAGACGCCAGTAGTAAAAACAGCAGCCCAAAGGTAAAATTAAAGTAACTAGGTTTTTGTTCCTCCCTCCCTTTAAAATACACATCTCCTTTTATGGTGTTTGTACAGGTGTGGTTTTCAAAGGAAGTTTCTTATTGCCCTTTCTCACTCTTAAGCTTCATACAGGACAATTTTCATAGTCCTGTAAATATCTTAAAGTAAAGAACATGATGCTGTCCAAATCCTTTAGTTTGTTAGCATCAACTGAATCATGAATCTTATTCTGTTAAACTAGAGCTAGAAACGGTCCTTTTATTTTTACAAAGTACTCATTCTAAGGCATTTTATGAAATACAACCTTCTTTGGGATAGTAGAAGTGTTTTAGAAAATTATTTCCTATTGATTATGAAACTCCCCTGGATGCTATTTATTTAAGAGCAGGGTGGGCAATTATTTGACTTGGAGGGCCACTTAATGAGTTTTGATGAGCTGTTGAGGGTGACGCACACACGCTCACCTTGACACTCTCGCTCCTACAGGTTATATTTTGCCCACCCCTGTTTAAGAGGCACTGTGATAAACACAGATGCACAAAATTCCCAGTTTTTCCTGACCTTTTTGAAGATTCAGTGACAGATGTATCACTGAAGTCATATCAGATTTGCATCTTAAAAAAATACAGCAGACCCAAATGTGATTATGACAAAAATATTAAAGACTGCTTTAAAAATAATTGAACAAAAACAGTCCTCAGTGGCACTGCTGAAATTAGTAAGGTTGGTTGTGGGTATGTATAAATGTTCATTGAAACAGGATCATAATGAGTGGAAAGGGCAACTGGTAATTGTGTAATAGGTTTTAGTTAAATCTCCCACAAAGTTCATCCACTGAAATTCACATATTTGAATTGGATTACATGCGCAATAGGTGCACATAAAACACATCGGTTGAAAACTGGGTTTTTATCTATCTTTTTAGACAAATGAGGGCCAAACCTTTTGGCAGGCATGCCGCAAATAAGCCCCATGCCTTTTCCCAAGTACCATTTTCATCCCCTTCCCCTGCTCTGTCTTCTGTTCTGTTTTCTGTTTCTTCCCTATCTGCCACTGTGCTGCTCATCCTCTCTGATCTGCTGTGTGCCACATGCACAGCTTGTCCATACCTCTTGTGGCGCACGTGCCACAGGTAGGCCAACCCTGTGTCAGATAATCAACTTTCTGGCCTATAACTTTATCCTTGTCCTTTCTTTCACTTCCTCTCTCATTTAAAAACAAACAATTACACGAGCCAATAAAGTAATTTTGTTGCAGGGAAGTAGTTTGAGATTCCCTCTAAGTTTCTGTTAAGTCTTACCTTTAATATGTTCATTAATGATCTAGAAAACAAATGCAAGAGTAGCACAATTTTTTTTTCTTTTGTAATTGGATGCATAGTCCCTTTCTGTTTGGTACTGCTACTGTGGTAATTAGTATACTGTGTCCACTTTTGGGCCATTAATTGCTGGAGAAGGCTAACTGATTTAACTGTCTGACCAATGTTAAAAAAAGCAACTGAGATGGGGTGCTGTAGGGATTGTCTTTAAAGAGAAAAAGGCTAAAAGCCTGTAGACCTTGTCAAATTGAATACATGAGCAGCATCACAAACCCATCTACAGGGATCAACAAGTGCCTTAAGTTTCTCTGCACTGTCCTCAAGGAACAGACTGAGTTTTCCCTGACATAACTCCTTATTCCAGCAAGCATCAGCTCCACTGGTCTTATACTGGACCCCACAGCAATAGCAAGAGAATCTCTGTTAGCTCTAGGTGGCCTTCCCATCGGGTTATGAAAGAAATTTTATGTTCCCTTTTCCATGGAAGGGGCCAGTCTGTAATATTACTCTCCAAGAAATCACTTTCTGAAGGTAGTAAGATAAAACAACAAAAGTATTTTATATAGGAGAACAAATTATGCAAGCAAAACTGAGCATATGTTTGAAGGCAGAAAAACAAAACAAGTAAAGTTTCTTACGTGCTCATCTGGCTACATCCTAACCCTCCTGAGATTCCTGCTAGTATTTCCAAGGTTCAAGCCTTGCTGATTTTGCTAGCCCTGGAACCTCCAAAGCCTGGGGTTCCAAGTCAACCATACAGAATCATAGAAAATTAGGGTTGCAAAGGAGCTCAGGAGGCGATCTAGTCCAACCCCCTGCTCAAAGCAGATCATCCCCAACTACATCATCCCAGCGAAGGCTTTGTCTAGCTGCATCTTAAAAACTCCCAAGGATGGAGATTCCCTGGCCTCTCTGGGTAACCTGTTCCAATGTTTTACTGCCCTCCTAGTGAGAAGTTTCTTCCTAATATCTAACCTACATTTCCCTTGATGCAACTGGAGAACATTTCTCCTTGTTGTGTTATCTGCCACCACTGACCACATCCAGCCATGCATGGATATTTGCATGCACTTTGTGCCACCACAACTAACAATGGTGCACTTTGTGCCACCACTACTTGTCCCTAGGGAACGCCTGTGCCATGTGCACTCTGGTATGCAAGTTACTCCAGATGGGGTAGGACAAGCTGGGGCCAGTACTTGGCTATCCTCAGCAGCCTTACTTGGGGCCCTTCTGGGGCTGCAGCAGTGGTGATCCTGCAGCGCGGAGTATGTCCGGCAGAGTGTGGCTCCAGCTGGCCAGGCTTTGTCCAATGCTGCCACCACGTGTACTGCTCCTACTTTTCTTTTCTTTTTCTGAGAGTTTTTTTGACCCTTGGATGTTCTGTGCTGCTCTCTAGCAGCCCGGAGAAGAACTGAATGCGCGGTGTATGGCTCTGCAGACATGTCCGTGGTGCCACATACTGCACAGCCATGCTCATCTGGATGTGGCCACTGAGAACAGTCTAGCTCCATCCTCTTTGGAATGGGTGCACCCTTCAGGTAGTTGGAGGCTGCTATTAAATTCCCTCTCAGCCTTCGCTTCCCCATACTAAATAATCCCAATTCCCTCAGCCTCTCCTTAGAAGTCATGTACCCTAGCCCCCTAACCATTTTCATTGCCTTCCGCTGAACTTTCTTCAATTTGTCCACATCCTTTCTATAGTGAGGGGCCCGAAGCGGGACACAATACTGCAGATGTGGCCTCACCAGTGCTGAATAGAGGGGAATTATCACTTCCCTCAAACTGGCAGTGCTCCTACCAGTGCAGCCCAGTATGCCATTAGCCTTCTTGACAACAAGGGGACACTGTTGGCTTGTATTTAGCCTGTTGTCCACTGTAATCCCCCAGTCCTTTTTTTTTTGTCCACATCCTTTCTATAGTGAGGGGCCCGAAGCGGGACACAATACTGCAGATGTGGCCTCACCAGTGCTGAATAGAGGGGAATTATCACTTCCCTCAAACTGGCAGTGCTCCTACCAGTGCAGCCCAGTATGCCATTAGCCTTCTTGACAACAAGGGGACACTGTTGGCTTGTATTTAGCCTGTTGTCCACTGTAATCCCCCAGTCCTTTTTTTTTTTTTTGCAGAGCTGCTGCTCCGCCAGTCAGCCCCCAGCCTGTCCTGGTGCTGGGATTGTTCTGTCCTAATTGCAGGACTTTGCACTTGTCCTTGTTAAACCTTGTGAGATTTCTTTTGGTCCAGTCCACCAATTTGTCTATGTTTTGAATGTTCACTAAAGAGATGCAGCAACTGAAATTGTAATACTCCGATTTGCATCTTAAAACACAGCGGACCCAATTGTGATTCTCACAGCTAGCTTCCTAAATCACCTCCAGCCAACACCCCCTGCTCCCCTCCTTCCACCAGCATTCTCATTAGTCACAAATTCTCCAGGAAGTTCTGGTCTCCCTGAGACACCTGGAACCCCTCTGGCAAAAGAGCCATTACTCTGTTGCCTCTCTACTGTGGAGTGGATTTTATTCATTGCAGGAAGACCATACCCTGGGGTGCCCAACCCATTAATGTCTCCTTCTGCCTTTGTCTGGAAGGTGTCAGTTGTCTTTAAGCATGCGTATCTCAGTTTCTTGCCTGAATTATCAAGATATACATAAGCATCGTAATATAAATTATACAACAATCAAAGCAACATAAATGGATACAGCATAACATAGACCTTCCAACAAGGCTACATAGCCCAGATCTGTACAGTAAAACATTCATGACATGCTGGAAACCCGAAAACACAATGAGTTTTTGTGATGAGGAAAAAATAACAAGATGGAGATTAAGAGATTAGATTGAGAATGGTAATTAATTCTATACTGCAATGACTGAGATATAACCGGTAGTAACGAGGTGAAATTGATAGGAAAGGCTTTGAATATTATAGAAAATTACATGATTGTGACATGTGTGGCTGTGAAATAGACCCTCTGTCATTTTCCTCCCTTTATTGGTAGGGGTACTTAACACTAGATTTGACCCTGAAACACCCTAGCAAATGTACACTAGGAAATATTCTTCATTGATAGACTAAGTAATCAAATAGGTTTTTTATCCTTAGATTCTGTACTTAGGAAAACATTAAAAAGTGGAAAAATATTTGAATGGCACCTTCTGCTAATGATTACTTTTATTTTTAGTTTGTTTTGCATCTACTATTTAGATGAGTGCATACCACGAATGACACATGAATGACAGTAACTAAGGCCTAATTAGCCCAACTTGTTTTTGAGCACCACTTCTTACTGGTGTTGTTTTGCCTTCAGTTGTAATAAAAGGTGAATGAGACCAAAAATAAGTGATTGTTTGTTTTTTTTTAAGCCAGGGAATAATGTCATACACTTTCTGTGTTGGTTGCTTATAGAGAATGTCTAAGCCAGTATGAACTTACTGAACTAACTTCTGTTTTGGAGGTAGGCTTTTGAAAGGATCTGAAGTGATCCTATGGAAACGTGACAGTATATAAGTAATTTCTTAAAGCTCCTAATTCCTAATTTTCAATGAAAAGTATCTGCCTAAGTTTTGTTTCTCTTGGAGGTGGCAGGGGTGGTGTGGGGGGAGGCATAGGCTTGTAAATCACTTTGACTCTTCTAAAAAATGATTTACCCTAAATGCCAAATTGAACAGTCTGTCCCTGTAAGAGGATGACTTCATTTAATTTAGGAATTTTTATTTTATAAATTGGAATATTTGGGGGGTATAGATTTAAAAATAAATTCAATTTTGTTTGCCCAAACATTTTGTCATTACAATATCCTGTTGTATATAGATACATATGGGATAATTCTTTGCTGAATTCTTTAAAGAACACTTCAGATATTCACCAGTATTTTATAAGTAAATGCTTGTAGTTTGTCATCAGAAGGGAATTTTAGTTGGAGTACAAGACATGTGTAGAATAAATTATTGAATGCATTAAACTAGTTATACAATTCAATATAGAGAGAAAAATAGCCAATACAAATGGTTGAAGGACCCAGTATTACTCTTATATTGCAGACACAAAGTAGTGTCCTTCTTTGAGCTAATTTTATTTTGTAGAAGTATTTAACTGTATGGCAACATAACTAACTACTACTTGTAAAAAAACAAAAACAAAAAACAAAACTAATTTATTCAATTTATTGATGATTGCAGTGATAGATAAATTTATATAAAAACAGAAAACGAGTAAATTTAATAGTGCATAGGCTATATTTCTGGCACGGAAGTCACAGGTCTTTTTTCTTTTTTGGTAGTTTTTGTCAGGGTGGGGAGGGAGCAACCATTAGGGGCATCTGATTATTAATAATCTCTTACTGTTTTTATAAAACTGAACACTCTTTGATTTTTTTTTTAATTTTTTTTTAATTTTTTTATTCTTGTACAAGTGAGTATAGATAGAATTTTGTCATTTTTGCTTATCCCCTGTTCTAGCTTAGTTGCTCATGAAAGCCAAATAGTATGAGCCAGATTAGTCCTTACTCCATGTCTTATTGGATTTAATTAAAGCAATTTAATTAAAACAATATTGGGAACGTGAAAGTATTTTTAGCAAGCCTCTATTTTATAAAAAAAAAAAAAAAAAAAATGAAGTTTTGATTAGGAGCCAGAGCACAACTTGTAAGCTCTTAATTTTTGAAGAACCGTATTCTTAAAAAATAGCAAAACTAGAGCTGTGGTTGGTTCATACCTGTTCTCATACTAATATTGTCTCGTGTAATTACCACATTGCGTTTATTTTGCACCATTGAGAGATTTTTCTTTGAGTGCCAGGATTGGCATAGCATGTATAAATGTACTGCATTTCTCAACCAGATTTCATAGGTATGAGCTACAGGAAGCAATTCCTGTGGGTGCTATGGGTGCTGAAGGACATGGAAAAACAAACAAGCGTGCGTGCGTGCGCGCCAGAGCTGGAGCCACTGCATGCTCTGTCCCCAGGCTGGAGGCACAGCCAGAGAGGTTGCATCTGGTAGGCAACAAGCAGGAGGGGGAAGCAAGTGGTGGTGGGTATAGGAGGCAAGCAAGTGGCAGAAGGAACAAAGGTTGGGGGTCAGGTTGCTTGCACCCCTGCTTACAAACCATGTAAAATACAATGAGCATTTGTGTATTAGCACTTCATGCACCTTATGCACTTCCCTTTTTGTTTACTATTAATGGCCTTGTTTCGTTTAGTTGACTGGAGTAAAACTAGAGTCAGGGTTTTTCAATACTGAGACCATAATACACATGACAAGTTCATAGGAATGTGGATTGGTTGGGGAAAAAGAAGCATGTTGATGAAAAGGCCAGAACATTTAATTTTAGTAGTGCTGGGGTGATGTCATAATGGGGGTGGGGCAGGTGTAGGTTGTAAACAGGGATGCAAGCAACCTCACCCACACCCTTCATTCCCTCTGCTACTTGCTTGCCTCCTGTCGCCACCACCACTTGCTTCTCCCTCCTGCTTATTGCCTACCAGATGCAGCGTCTCTGGTTCTGCCTCCAGACTGGGGACATAGAGTAGCTCCAGCTCTGGCCTCAGGCTCTGGTCATGGCTGGAGCCAGAGCTAGAGCAGCTGCTGGCCCCAGGGTGTCCCCCCCCCCCCCCCCCCCCCCGGGTCTTCCCAATATTCAGAGGGGTGGGACATCTCATCTTGTATTCAGTTACATATAGTATCACCCACAAAAATCCTTGCCAAATGCATTTTACATTTTTAGCTTCTGAAAAGTAATGGATGGGAAAGAATCTTTCAGGACCTTATCCTTGCACTTTATTTGGAGAACTCTGCATATCAGCTTTGGGGGACTAGAAGCCCAGAAGTTCTGTGCAGCTACAACTTCTAAATTTAAATGAAACACCTTTAAAAATAGGTCCCATCTATCTAATGCCCTTGGAGCTTCTTCTAAACTTCAGCTTTTGCATGAAAGAATTGCTTTCATTTAGCTTTTCTCTCTCTAGTAATGTAGTTGATCATATGTGGCCAGAAGAATACTCAGACGGTACTTTATTATTGTGGGGTTTTTATATATGTTTTTCTCAAATTAAATGTTTGGATTTTAATAATTTTTTTTATGTGCAGTATTTGATTGATGTATTACAGTAATATGAATAAATGGCAAAGTTTTTATTTTGCATGGTGATCTAGTGACATCAGAGCAATGCACTTTTATCTCACACTTCCATTTTTTGTTATGCCATTTTCCATAATAGAGGGAGGAAAGGCAGATTGCCGGTTACAATTTAAAATGAATCATTCAGTGGACTTGAACAAGATTCAAGTCAATGCAGAACTTGGCCCACTGACTTCTTACTGGTTTGAGGAACAATGTTAATAAGTACGTTTACTTCTCGAAATACTAATGGAATTCTTCATTTTAACTAGCAAATGATTATGGCATGAGTTCAAGCAGCAACAAACTGGTTATAATTTGTTTGATAACTACTAGAAATTTAGTGATATGCAACACATGTGGGTCTTTGCATCTTATGTTTTTTTCTTTTTTCATGTTTTAAGCAATCTGGACCGAAAGGAAAGGTAAGCTCAATGTTAATTGAATGAGCATGACGATGAGCAATAAGAAAATTAAATGAATACGAACTTTACCAATTATACCTAAAGAATAATTAGTAAAATCAGTGGTCAGTTCTGCTGTAAGTGGGCTATTTTATTAAAAAGGGAGCATTGTGTGACAAACTACTTACATATGTGGATATTAGGCACATTTTCTACAGAAATGACTGTGCATATGTAAGGCTTTATAGAGAGGAGATGGACTTTACTTTTCTGTAGAAATGGAATCTTACTTTAAATTGTTATATTGAAGGAAACTGCCATGCTCAGATTTGTTTTTAACTGTTTCATAATTTTACCTTACCAATCGTACAGAAATCTGGCTTTTCCTCTAAAAGAGTTTGGATTTCAGTATCATGCACTTAGAAGTTGTAGCAGCTAACAAAAATCACAGGGCAAAGAAATCCACTTTATTTAATGATGATTTTTCAAATTGTGTGTGTGCATGTACACACAAAAACACTGGCATTTCCCACATAATATTTCATGTTGCGTTCCAATACATGTGACTACTTTGTTTAATAATGCTTTAACTTGTTTGGGTCTTTTATATTGATGTCATTTATTGCTTAAGAAAATGATTCTTTTCATTATGGTATAAGTTTGACACTAAAGTTTGGTTAAACTTAAAATATTTAAATTGCAAAATAAGTTGCACAGAATGTAGCTTTCTTTTGTGTATATATAGAATTTGGTAGACTGATCTTGATTTGCTGGTAACTGATCTTTTATGACTTAGTTGATTCCTGTTACTTTCTGCAGAAAGTAATGGAAATGTGAAGGGATGCTAACAGAGTAGCATTTGCCTTTATTATAAGGGGCTTGATTACCTTCTCTGTCTTGGTTTTTAACTTTTCGTGGTGTTTAATGCATTTCAATTGAATGATGTGTGGGTTTTGAAGATTTACTTTTTTAGTGTTTGATTCAGTCACTAGAGGGGATGTGAACATTAGAGATAATGCATAGTTGTGCATGCTGGGTTTGAGTTCTTTGTGTTTTTATTTTGTACAAGACTGAAATAACAATTGCTCATAAGCAGGGATCCAGGCTTTCCATTTCTCATAGGAAAATGGAAAAAACTGTGCATTTCCCCCTTTACTGGAGGAAAACAGATTTCTCAGTTTAACAGAGAAGCATGCAGATTTTGCAGTTTTGCAAAGAGCTCTCTGCAGGATGGCAGAGTTCCAGCTTGCAGAAGACTGGGAGGGAGCTGGAGGAGGGGGCTAGGCAGGGGCACCATGTCCATGTATATGCACATGGCTGCCAGGCAGCCTGGAGAGCAGCTCCCACAGATAAGTGGGGAGGAGGGGGGATTGAGGCCCCCATAGGGAGGGAGGGAGTTGGGCAGGGCTGGGGCTGGGGCTGGGGCTGGGGCTGTTGCCCGGCTGGGCGGTGTGTGTGGCTTGGGGCCCAGGGCTGCCCAGGAAGCAGGACGGGGCCATGGGAGGCTCATCTGCAGGGTATGGGGCTGTGTGGGCCGGGAGCGACCCGAGCCCTTTTCCGTGCTGCACGCGGGCTGTGGCCAGCAGCCCGGGCACGCTGGATCGGAGAGGGAGGGCGACGAGCTGGAATTAGGCACAAACGCTTAGCGGTAGTTTTAAAGATTGTTTACTTACACCAAGATGGCAGTGGTGTAGGCTGGAGAACTTGCTTGAGTTGCGGTTACAGACACAGACAACACGGACGGTCGCGTGGCATTTGCTAGGCTCCACGGAACAGAGCTCCGGATGCTCTGGGTGAACGCACCACCAAAATCGAAATCGGAGATACGTCTTATAAAATTTGCGATCGAAGACAGGAAGAGGTGGGCAGTGGATCAGGTCGCCAAGCTCCTCTGAATCTCACACAGGGTCTCTATTACCCTGCCGTGTATCCAGAGTCCCCACGAGATGGATGTGGAGTCCTCTTCGGCTTGGGCGGAAACTGCTCAAGCCTCTTATACGGCTAACAGGCCAATCGTTAGCCGCCACGTGGGAATAATTTAGAGCTAGCCAATAGCGGGGAACAAATTTGCATACCGGTGGCGGGAACTCTTTTGTACCGTGCATTCCTCTTGCAACTTGAGCAATGCACTCTGCAAAAGAAGCTGCAGAAAGGCGGGAAACTCGTCCCTGCGCCGGGGTTTTCCTCTGCAACAGGAAACTCTCCCGTGCAATGAAGCTGCAACTTGTCAGGGATAATTCTGGTGCCGAAGCACACACGAAATCACGCCTTTGGGTCATGACAGGGGCTAGCTCCCTACCACTGAATGCACTCCCAGGGGGCAGGGGGATCCATGCCTCCCAGATGTGAGTGAGGCAGGCGCTAGCCCCTCTCTGCAGGCTCCCACCCTGCTGCTCTCTTTCGGCCTCTGCAGCCCAGTAGGTGTGACCTAGTGCTGCAGGAAACAGCAGGGCTGCACAGGAATCTCCTTGTTTGTTGCAAGCTCCGTGCTGCCCTGGCAAGGTATCCCCTGCCTGCAGGGCAGCAGTGAGGGGTGCCACCCCTGTTGCTGCCACCCCTGCTGCTGTTCTCTGGAGCGCTGGGTCACACCAGCTGGGCTGTGGATGCCCCAGGGGAGGGCAGCAGGGCAGGAGCCCAAGCCCACAGTGGGCAGCCTGTGCCCACCCCTGCCCACCTCTCCCACAGATCTGGGAAGTACAGGTCCCCCTTGCCCCCAAGCAGGAGCACGCACAGTGGCGGGGAGTGACCACCCAAGCCCACAGCAGGCAGGGAGTGGGGTGGGGGCAGGGGGAGCCAGGCTCTGCTCTGTTGCAGTAGCAGCTGCTGCCTCCTGCAGGAGACTGTGGACCTGGGTCCCTGGCAGCTGGGGGCCCCCTCTGGCAGGGTTGAGGATGCAGGGGGATGTGTGTGGGGGGTGAGGGGCACCAGCTGGGCTGTTGAGAGTGGGAGGGGAAAGTGAGGAGCACAAGCAGGGCCAGGGGGCTCTAGTAGGGGGAGTGAGGGGCATGAGTGGGGCTGGGGGTAGGAGTGATGGGCTTTCATTAAATCATGGATTTGGGGGGGTTTATCAGAGAATTGGTGTGGTGGGATTGTTTGGGTTAATTTTTATCAGGGAAAACAAGGATCCCTGTTGATAACTGCTAAGCACAACAACCATCAGCAGCTAGACTTCTTAGCTACATGAACTTGTTGAGTAGGACTCTGGTTCTATGGAAGAAGAGTCCTTTTTGTACTGTAGTACACAAATCTATTGCTTTGGAAATTCTTTATACCTTTCTGCTCCTGTAACAGAGGATGATCATGTATTTACTGGTTTCAGGTAGAGAGCAGTTACTTTCTTCTCTTTTTAAGAAGAGCACCAGATTTTCCTTTCCCTGAGAGCGAAGACTAGCAGCAGTGGGATCTCAATTTCTAAATGCTGAAAGTTCTTTACCACTTGGAGGGAAGAAGAGAAGGGGAAAAACTGTTTTTGTACATTGTGGGGAGGTAGACCAAAAACATTTGAGAGTTTGGTAACTCCTGCTGGCTTACATGATTTTGCCTCTGCATCAAAAGTAAGGGGGAGGAGAAGAGAGGCTGTCTTTCAGGTACATTTTATTTCTCCCTTATAGTCACCTGCTACTCCATAACCTGTTACTCCTAGGTTCATTCTTCTCCCTGCCCAAACTTGTTAGCAAAGGTTGTTGTCTAGAGTACTGTGTTTACAGATCTACAGATTCTTACTTATGTTTATAAAACCAGGATGCTTCTTTATGGTTTTTGTGTCTAGGTAGAAACTTTTCCCAGTCATTTGCTATACTCTTGTTTTCATCCTGCTTGCCAGTGCTATTCACACAGTTAAAGGATTTTAGGGCATAGTAAGCTAATTTTACTCTGCCATATGATAGTACTGTTGGGAACAAGTACTGTCCTATGGCAGAGTAAATACGCAATTAACTACATGTGTAGATGGTAACTGCTGGCTGCAAATTACACCTGGTCAGCCCAGCCAGCCAGGGGAAAGAGCCTGCAGAGCTGGAGCCTGACCCTCATGGCCCAGCCAGCCCCTCTGCTGCCACCCAGAGCCCAGGGCTGACCCCATGCCTCCTGCCAGCCTGGAATTGCTCCATACCAGCTCTAACTGCTCCAGTCCCAGGCTGACACTAGGCTCGGGCTGTGAGTGGTAGCGGAGGGTGGCAGAGAGACTGCCTGGAGTATGAGAGTGCTGAAACTGTGGAGCCATGTGTGCTAAACATTCCCTTGCCCCGAGCTGCTGCCAGCCCAGGGCTGCAGCAGTTAGAGCAGGGATGGAGCAGCCCTGGGCTGGCAGCAGGCTCAGGAGTTCAGCCACATGGCTCTGCAGTTATGGCACTCTTGTGCCCCAGCCAGTCTCTCCTCTGCCACCCAGAGCCCAGGGCTGAACTCATGAGCCTCCTACCAGCCCAGGGCTCTAACTGGGCTGGTAGCAGGCTAACTGTGGGCTGTAACCCTGGCTCTAACTGCTGCAGTTCCAGGCACATGTGTAAATTATATGCCTGGGAGCTGTTTTCTCTGGAGCAAACTGCCCTCGAGTTTATTGCTTTGAGCTCATTGCTCATGTAGATGCACCTTAAGTCCACAGTCCAGGTTCTCAACCTAACTGTTCTAGGGAGAGGGGTGATCTTTTGATTGCTTACCTTAGATACTGTTCATCCTCTTCCTTTTCTGAGGTCCTGAAACTGGAAAAAAAAAATGAATGGAAAATCTCAAATGAATTCAGTGTCCAGAACCTAAGGTTTTTTCCTAGGAAAATACGCACCTTTGAGAATTATTTTAGGGGACCTAACAGACAAAGAAGTGTTATGTTCTACAGGAATATTTGCAGTTGTACCATGTCTAATTCTTAGAGTTATTAAACTTATTAGATCTCTCAGGCTAGGGACAAACATTCCAAAAGCTGGAGCTTGAATTGATTTAATCTTTGCAGGTTAGTCTAACCTGCAAAGATTGAACCAGTTTGCAAGTGGCTAGATGTTCCCTTTTCATTCTGGAAATGCAGGCGC